GTCGTTTTAAATGATTGGCTGAAGAGTCATAAAATTAAATTTGAAGTCATGTTACGGTGACCAACAGAATGTAGCGATGAGTACCGCGTTGTGTGTGTTATTAAAGGGGAACTGCTGAAAGGTAGGTGGCAACTATATCTTTTACTTGAACTATACAAGAGGGACACATTTTTTTATGAACTCGAAGACGCAAAATACCTAGTACCAGTCAATCCAGATTTTTTTTACCTTTTTCGTAGCACAGTTCTTGCACTTGATGTCGGGAATGGTGGAGGTTCTGGGCAGGCTGTAACAACACACTTTCAATGTAAGTCCGTTGCCGATGTCTGTCTCGGGGAATTCGTGTTTGTTGGCCGACAGATGAAATATGGAAGTGGCCAGCGTCTTTCCAGGGGCAGTCAGGTAGGAGCGGAAGCTATTCTCGGTTATACCACCAGCCTCGGTTTCGTCACGTGTCATCAGCCATGCGGTGATCTGGGAGAAGTAGAGCTGCGATCGGATCGCGCTGACCAGCTGATTGAGGTTGAAGAAAATCGGAACGGCGGTCCTAGAAGAATAAAGACGTGGCAGCGGATTTTTTTTAAGACAATCATCTTTGTTGCGCCCCAAAGAACCCCTCCTTACTTTTTGGATTGGATGTCGAAATGCCACTGCTCCAGAACGTAGGCGCTGTCTAATGAATCGGTTTTGGCGTCAATTTCTTCGCAACTGCATGCCAAAAGGACCTCAATGCACAGCGGCACCTCTTTCTGGCACAAGTCCAAGACTGTCTCACGGTCGTTTTCAAATTTCAAACACTGAAAAAAAAATATATATGAACGCTATTGAAGCATTATAATTGTTCACCAGCACCCGATGGCATCACTTCGAAAGTCATAAAAAACACTCACATCCCTCTAATAGTGCCTCTTACTCATCTCATAAACTTTGCACTCAATAAAAGTACCCTGCCTAAACAATGGAAAGAATCGACCATCACCCCAATCTACAAATCAGGCAAACGTTCCGTACTGACTACTTGTAGACCCATCTTATCCATAAACAGCTTTGCTAAAATTTTCGAATACTGTCTAAAAGAGAAACTGTTGAATTATCTGGATGAAAACTGTTTGATTATGGAAAAACAATTTGGCTTCAGGAAAAATCGAGGCACAGAAAATGCAGTACTAGAGCTCACGAACCATGTAACGAAGAATTTAAATCTTTCAAAAAATGTTTAGTTGTCTCGATTCAGCTAAAGCATTCGACACTGTATCGCACCATATACTGCTTAACAATTTTTGGGAGATTCTCTCACCCCTTTTTTTTATATCAGATGGAGTAGCAGAAAGCCAAAAACTTTCTTTCCCAAAAATTAATCACTCCTAAAAATATAACCCCGTCAATTCAAACTGCTTAACAAGTTATCAGACAACGGAATAAGAGGTCCAGTGCTAGATTTATTTACCAGTTACCTGAATCGAAGGACTCAAAGCGTAAAAATAGAAAATGCATTAAGCAAACCCTCAATAGTTACCACAGGTGTTCCTCAGGGTACAGTACTGGGCCCATTACTTTTTCTCATTTACACACGATGAGTGGTCAGAGTTGTATCGCACTGCTGAATATGAATTCATTAAAATACAAAAATGGCTAAACCTGAACTTACTGACATTAAATACTGACATTAAATACTAAATTCGTTACTTTTTACACTTACAGAACCGAATCAACCCAGACTTGATTATTTATTCTTGCATAATGAATGCTGCTTAGAAAGGAATGATAAATTTAAGTGTCCAAAAATAGCGAACGTCTCAAAAATCAAATATCTAGGAGAAGCACTGTACAAAAAACGTAAGTTGGATCTAACACCTATAAAACCAACAGGACCAAGTTGGATCTAACACCTATAAAACCAACAGGACCAAGAACTAGGAGTAAATCTGTTAATAAACGTACGGATATATGATGGAATCGGCCGATACTTGATGAAAATCCATAACTAACGTATTCCAAAAACACTTTATTGTGAGATTTTCACTAAATTGTTTTACAAAAACGCAACACGTGTTTCGCCATACAATGGCTTCATCTGGCGTGTCTTTCAACTCCAGACACGCCAGATGAGGAATGATCACATTAACTACCTTGTTAGCAGAGTAAGAAAACTTATTCACAAATTCTACACTCTCAGAGATATTTTAAGTAGAAAAGTTCTACTGGTAGTTAACAATTCATTAATAGAATCAGTATTGTGATACTGCACCACAGCACGGGGGTCGCATTTATTAGCGTTATAAACAAAACTCAGGTTATTCAAAATACCATTCTCAAAATCATATAAAAATCTTCATAAATTTAAAGCAGACTCAAAAGCATATATTCTGCAATATAGCCATCTTCAAAATACTTTTTTTTAACTAAAACTGTATGATTCCATTTCTCCCCCGCTCAACTCTATCAACAACAACAAAAATTGCATATCTATGTTCTCACTATTATGAATGGGATGAGAGTGCTGGTAATACTGCGGCATAAGACAGAGGCACTAGCTCAAGTCATCTCATTATTTATGCATATATTTGTATTGTATTTGTATCGTTGTTATAAATGTAAATGTAAAAATAAATTATCAACAGTGGTATTCAACTAGAAGAATATGAATATTCCCATAGCCATAAAATAAGGGTGGTAATACGCTAAGAGGGTGGTCCCAGAACTACCCAGCCTGACTTAGAGATGGCTGTATCACTGTATTAGAAAGTACACAATCTCTAAATCATAAGTTTCAAATTTGAAGACGCTGCGTTGTTTAGTATTTGTTTAGCAGCCATCAATAGCAAACGTTCATCAATTCATCAGTTGCGAATCATCTTATGACAGAGGGGCACGAGTTGAATCACGATTATGAAGTTTGTTTTGAAGGTGGTTGACAATGCTTCGTGGTCCACAACCAATTGCTATTCTTAGACGTATTGGTGAAGAGTACCGACACTAAATGGGAAACATCTGTATATCGAAAACCCACTCACACAGGACAGTATCTGAACCAGAAATCCAACCACCATCAATCGACTAAGAGAGGAATCTACAAGACTCTACTAAACCGTACTTTTGGGCTCTGTAATACGAAGGAAGGTTTCGAAAAGGAACTAGGCATCATCAAAAATGACTTTCAACGGAATGGCTACTCCGAAGTGATAGTGGAACGGGCTTTAGCTAGAAGACAGCAAGAGCTTCACAAGGAAGAGAAGCCGCCACAAACAGTACTTGTACTTCCCTACATTGTCGGAAAGGATAAGAAGGATTGGGTCCAAATATAACATCAGAACCTGCTTCAGATCAGGGAACACTATCCGTAGCAGTCTCACAGAAACCAGGCCACCAAACGCGGACTGCGATTCCAAGAATTGCATTTACCGGATACCCTGCAAGTACGGAGAATCATACATCGGTGAAACTAAGAGGCCATTGAAAGTTCGCATTGCTGAGCACAAGAAAATAGTTCAATTTTTTATTTTAATTTTTTGGTTGTTGCTTGTATTTTATTTCATTGTAAACTCAGTTTATTTTTGTTTGATATAATTGTTATTTTTCAGATTATCTTTTTGATTTTCTACAGATTCTTTCTGGGATTTCAAATCAATTTATATCATATAAGACAAAGGATGTCCGAACTGATGAACTACAATTATGAAGTATTGCATTTGGAAAAGAAAGGTTCAAATCTCAACCTTTTGGAATGTTTGAAAATCATTAGATTATTGCTCAAAAATCAAATAGATTTGAATTGTTCCCCTTTATTGAATTTAGTTTGCAATGAGGAAATTGCTAATTATAAAAATTGTATTCATTATTCTAGTTATTCCTAGAAAGGTATTTAGTTCAGGTAATTAATTTATCACGTAGAAATCTGTCAAGTAATACTGGTAGTAGTGATTCAAATTACCATAAAAGCATGACACAGAATTTGTTTAGTCAGTATTGTGACGGCTGAAGATGCCATTGTAAAGCGAAACACATGTTGCGGTTTTGTAAATGAAAATCTCACATCAAAGTGTGTTTTTCAAAAACGTGATAAAATTTGACATTTCTGAACACCCAACTAATCGACCCAAGGCCAGATTCAACTTCCCATTCAAATAAAACCATGAAATGGCTCTACAACAGGAAAAACTGTCTCATTTTTCCTTTCCTCACCAGACTATTTATATAAATCACGAACAGTAAGGGCCCTACTATAGAACCCTTGGAACACCACAGGTCACGGCTGTCGCGGGAGTCCATTGTTGATTTGATTAATAAAATATAATCTTGTCTTCTGAACCCGATTATTTTCCAGTTTTGAAGAACATTAAAAAAATCTCTCGTGCATTTTCAATCAAAATGTTTCTTTTCTGCCGAAAAAAATCGTTCAACAGAATCGTCCTGTAAGAAAGCATCAATGCGAAAGCAGATACATTATTTTCGTATTTCGAACCGTTTTCACCAAGGTCAGGCACCACTAATAACAATATAATAATTACAGAACGATTACACGAATGTTGGCCTTTTCTCGATATGACTTGTCGTGAACGTTCATAATCTTCATGGTTGAAGTTTAGGGACATGTTTTGACCAAGCATTTTTTTAAATTTTATTTACAGAACAATCACACTTGAAGTGAGGTTCAAAGACTCTTCATATCTGTAAAAATTGTGTACATAACTCATTAGAGGGGCGGTTGAACTCAGAGAACAGGGTTGTACTCGGCAATAGATCAACAATGATATGACAGAACTGAAGTTCAATTATAATCTGAAATCTGTTTCACATTGGATTTTAACCCCCAACAAACTAATAGAAACAGAAAGCGGAATTGTCTGTCCTGACCAGCGGCGGCTCGTCACAGGAGGCAAGGGAGGCTTAGCCTCCCCATAAAATTTGAGGCTATTCATCGCAATAAATTGAAAGATATTGACAAATAATCATGATTACTTTTTTTTTAAATGCTTGGGTATCAATTATCATTAATTTTTAATATAAATACATAATGTGTCCGAAAAAACACTATCACTCACTACGTAGTATGTACCATAATGTATCCTGCATCAACAAAACTCAAACGCACCGCCCATAAACGAATAACGAATAAACCATCAACCCGAAATAATAAATGCCATACGTTGCAAGGGAGCCAAGCCTCCGACCGCTTTAAAAAAGAAAGGCTCCACGAGACCGATCCAACCAGCGACATACGTCCCGAATTGTAATTTTAGTTGCAGAAATTATAGCGTTAGAGGAGGCTTGCCTCCAGTTGGTCTCTGTTATTTTGGGAAATTGATTTAGTGTTTTTTGATAATATTTGTTATTTACGTATAAAACAGGCAGTACTGTATCATAGCAGTACTTTTTGGTAATATTTCTAATGCGTTTTCAAACTGTTTTCTTTCAATTTCAAGGTGTTTTCAGGTTTTCACTTTTCGGTGAGTTTTTTTTCCATT